GCAGCCGACCCTGGACTTGCAGACGGTATAAACCTGGGCTGTGAATACCTGTTGTTTAAGACCCCAGTCCATTACTTTTTCTAGCAGCCTTAGCTGACTTAAGTCAAGGAGCCCCTCTTGGTACTTTGCTATGGTGATGGTGCCATCTTATGAGGTACTGAGGTACTGGTAATTCATCCACAAAGGTGTTCCTGTTGGCTAAACTTCTTCATGCCAGGGAACAAAACCCTTCTCCCTTCTCCTGATGTTACTAAGGAGGTTGGATGGGAAGACCAAGGCCATTGTTTTTTGTTTTAATTTTGGTCTGTGTTTAGGTTGTAAGCTGAACTCATTCTATGAGAGTCATACATGCAGACCCCTGACATACTATTCCTGGGCCTATTTTGAGGAACAAATGGGCCTGGGATTTTCTGCTGCTTATGTACTCTCCCTCCATTCTCTGGCATTCATGTGCTACTAGGCAGTGACATGACATAGCTGGGAACCCCCTTTTCTGGGGCCAGCCTCTCTTCCAGGATACAAAATTGATGACTTGGGCTTTGGAAGTTTTTAGTTTTGCTTGCTGCTTTCACTTGTTCATCCGAGTTACTGGGAAGGAGAGGAGTGGGAGGCTCAGAGGAGGGATGCCAATTCTGCATAATGTGTCTCTTTTAGTCAGTTATGGAAATTGAAGACAAAAGCTAGAAAACCGAAGCACTATAGCTGTCATTGGTTTAAAGGATTTTCTTTTTCTTTGCCCTGGAAACTATCCTACTCATAAAACAGTCTTTGGTGGGACAAAGCCATTGTACAAAGTAAGGCCCAAGGCCATCGAAGGGGTGTGTTTCTGCCTCATCCTGTCAACCACAGTTGAAATGATGACTTTTGAGCCTTTCCCCTGAAGAGGCCTCTTTCCTCTAGATTGTGTACAGATAGATGCTGTTTGATTTATGGTTTCGCATCTCGGTAAACCCATCCTAAGTTGAAACTGAGAGAATATGTAAGTTGAAAATGCGCTTAACACACCTATCTTACCAAATAACTTAGCCTGGATTACCTTAAGTGTCAGGATAACTCTTGCATCAGCACACAGTTGGGCAGTTGGCATCTAACAGAAAGCTAGTTTTGCTGTATTGAACATCTCACAGAACTTATTAACTACCATATCTGAAATAATGCTGCCATTATCAATATGCTAGTTTGGGGGTTTCCCCAGGTCATGGGCACTGTCCATCCTCCCCAGAGAGGGTCCCACTGCATGTTGCCAGCCTAGGAAAAGATCCAGATTTGAAGTCTGTTCTCTATTCACTGGGTATTTCTTTCTTTATAAGAGTTGTTAGGTTACAGCCTGGACCCTGGCAGCCCTAAGGAGCTAGGGTCAAAAGAAGTAGTGAGAAGCAGAAAAAGTTATTCAGTGTGACCATGTTAGGAAGAGAATCACACAAAGAGGTAGAGTGAGCTCCAAATCTATCACAAGGAGGTTTAGATAGGAATGGACATGAAGAGGTATGTGTAACAGCAGTCTTAGTCAACATGTGGTTCCGCCCACCATCAGTAAGGCTCCTGTTGTGTCTTAGGACGTTGTCTGGTAAGTTGTCAGAACTACCTCTTGGGACAGGAGCTCTCCCCTGTGTAGCTGGCACTACACTTCAGCCTTTGCTTCTTCTACCGTGAGACTCCTGGAGAAATTCCAATTCCTTGGAATCTATTGTCTCAATAGTTGATAGCCAAAAGAGATAGCCAAGTGTCTCTCTTCAGTGTATCTTCCCTCCTGTCAGTAGTGTCCCACCTCCACCCCATCCTAAGGTCAAAAGCCATTAAGTTGAGCCGCTGTCGAATTGGAATTGTCAATGCTTGTAATCATGGAATTTACTGTTATCTCCAACCCCTTTTGACAAATACCATAAGCAATAGAGATTCTTAATATCCCCACCTGATGTTTGTTACAGCTCCTGGATGCTGCAGTTGGCCTGTGGAACTTACTGGCTTTCCTCAAGTGCTTTCTCCGGGGGTTTTCTGTGTTATTGCTTATTTTCTTTCAATGCTATTCATTCACGAAATGCATTCTTTCTCTAGTTTCATTCCTCTTCTTCACTCCCCAAAGTAACTTGTTCACCTGCCACTGTAATTTCAGTGCTCCATGCTCTAAATTGAAAGCCGTCTGTATTAATTCTGTTGTTTATGACAAGATTACCATAGACAGGAAAGTAAATCTTTTATTTGCTGGTTTGAGTGCTTGTATGTGTATTCCAGTTACAGTCATCATGTTAGAATTCTAAAGAGACCCTTCATTATTTAGACTATGTTATGACTCAATCTATTGTTGCCCTTTCCCCTAGGGCACACAAGTTGCCTCAGATACTGAACTCAGCCTGCCTACCTGTCTCAGCTGAGCAAGGGCTCCAGCGCTGGCTCCTTTTCTCTCCAGGCAGTGAGAGGCCAGGTGTCTCACAAATGTTCATACAATAAGGAATACCCGGTTTTTTGGGTCCTACATAAGGGGCTCTTTTGAGTTGAGAAAGGGTTTCCTGAATCTTAATGATTCTCTTCTTAGATAAATCCTAACAGGCAGTAAATGTGTCGAGGCATGCATTACTGGGCATGCGCAATCTCCCTTTCGGGACCCACCTGGTAGTCTGGGATACTTGAGGTTGGTTTTCGCTAGATGAGACATTTCTTTACCTTTTTTTTTTAAACCTTTGTTTGTTTGTTTTGTGTGTGTATGTCCATGTGCCATGGTGTGCATATTGACAGAAGACCACTTGCAGCTGCCAGTTCTCTCCGCACACTGTTGCAAGCTTCCTCGGGTTGTCAGGCCTGGAGCCATCTCAGCAGCCCACAGAAGGTCTTTTCAAGACACCAGCTGCTAGTCACCCACTCCCATCTAGTTTCAGGAGTGATTCCTAGTAATTTGCATTTCTGAAAATGTCCCCAGGTGATGAAAGGGCTGCACACGTCATAGCACTGCTCTCCCAGCGGATACAAAAGTGCAACGTAGATAGGCACAGTCCTTAACGGAATTCTCACAATGAACTGGGAACCAGGCCTTCACCTTGGAGGAGGGAGATGGGAATGAGAGAGTAACAGTAATGGATTCTCGTATTGTCTGCTAGAGAGGGGAATCCACTTCTCGTCTAACTTCTTAACTCCGACTGCCTCCCCTGTATAGAATGCTGTTTCCTCTGTGTAGGACAGGAAGGGCTGGAAGTTGATTTATAAACCCAGAATACAGTAAACCATTTCTCCTTCCTCAGAGTCCATTATAGACCTGAACGCGTGAGCATGGCGATGACACACCACTAAGGAACTGTTCTCGAGAGTGAGAGACCTTGGAACTCTCAGCTCTAAGCCCTAAATGGGATGTCTCCTTCAAATCCCTCCCATCAGGGGTTAGGGAACCCTGTGGAAGGGGAGGCAGAAAGAGTGTAAGAGCCAGAGGGGATTGATGACATCAAATCAGCAAGCCCTCTAAATCAACAGGATCCGTGCACATACGAACTTACAGACACTGAGGCAGTGTGCACAGGGCCTGACTTGTCTGCACCAGATGGGGGTCTTAGAACTAAAAGTAGAAGTGGGTGCATGCCCCATCCTCAACCAGAAGCTATCTCCAATTGATGACCACTTGCAAAAGAAAATTAAGTTTTCTCCAAGGGAGTCTCATGGGAAAAGAGCAACTTCAGGAGAAAATGCATATGAACTCAACAGAAAACAAAGTGAACTCAATGGCATCTTTGGAGGTTTCTTGTCTCATAATTTAGCACTGGGGCTTTAAAAAAAATCTTATTTTTAAATTTTGAGATATATATATATATATATATATATATATATATATATATATAGTTCAGTGTTTTTATGAGATTCTTAAGTGTGTGAATGAGTGGGTCTCTGTATTTGTTTGTTGTGCCTTTTACAGAGGGCTCTTTTCCCTTCTTGTTTGTTCTGTTCTATTCCTATGTGTTAGTTTTTGTTACATCTTATTTTACTGTATCCCTTAGAGCAGTGGTTCTCAACCTTCCTGATGCTGTGACCCTTTAATCCAGATCCTCATGCTGTGCTGATCCCCAACCATAAAATTATTTTCATTGCTCCTTTGTAACTGTAATTTTGCTACTGTTATGAAATGTAATGCTTTCTGAAATCTGTGTCTGACCGTCTGAGATGACCCTTGTGAAAAGGTCACAACCCATAGGTTGAGCACCACTGTCTTAGAAGCTTGTTTTCTAGTGAAGACACAAAGCGGGCGGATCTGGGTGAGAGCGGGGCGGTAAGTGAGGAAGGAGTAGAGGGAGGGGAACTGTAATCAGGATGTGTCATATGAAGATATTAGATTATTTTCGAGAAAAGAAAAAGAATTCAGACAGTAAAACAAGAGAGAGGGAGGGAGGGAGGGAGGGAGGGAGGGAGGGAGGGAGAGAGAGAGAGAGAGAGAGAGAGAGAGAGAAGCTGTCCTTGTTATTAGAGTTTGTTGATTGGATCACACTGAGGGACAGACCCACTCTGGACTTCCTGCAGGCTGTGTAATTGCTCTCCACCTATTTTTAGTTCATCTTGCATGACTGACTCAGAGCTGGGGCTGGTGACTTGATACTCACCAGTATTTAGTATTACAGACTGGCAGGTGTTAGGCCTTGACGCTGTGAAAGGTGGAGTGTCTGAGTGTGAGATTGCTACCCTCCACCTACCTGAGAGGAGCCACAGCCAGAGCCTCCGTTTCCCTGGTGCTCTGCTCTGAGAAGTGTGACTGGTTGTGCTCTTTACCTGACCCAAGCAGTCCTTGGGACACGCAAATGCACCCTTGCCTGTCTTCATCTCAGGGCGAGCTGTTGGAACTCCTGTTTTCTGGCCTGCATTCTCAGCACACCCAGGGAAAATTAGGCAGAGGGGGAGTTCCTGGTTGCAGGGCTTTGCCTCCTACTTGAAGGCTGCCAGTGAGGTGTCTTTGCCTCCAGTGGATGGATGCACAGGAGAAACACTGGACTGGAACCTTGATTTCTGAGTTGTGTTACAAGGTGTGGCTAGTCAGATGGTGTCCTCCGTGGCTGGTCAGTTGTGCCTGTGGCCAAAGGCTTTATTTAAAAAGCCACCACAATTCATTCTCCCCACAGCCCTAGATAGAAACCTCTTGGGGCATGCTCTTAGCATTTGAACTTTGTAAGAACTGGACAATGACAGTCTGTGGTGCTTGAGGGTTTTTCTAGCCACAGTTCAGGAAGCTTCGGGACTCTGGAAATACCACTGACTAATTTAAGTGAAAGAGCAGTTAGTGTAGGGGGGGGCACCCTGACTCTGGAGTGGCCTGGGCTCCATCATTTCTGCACCTTCATTGTCTCATTTGTTAAATGAAGGCCTTGGAGCCGAAGCTCTTTAATCCTTCCCTTCAGGATTCTAATTATAGTAACTTCTGATAGAATTTACATCTCCGTCGAAGCCTAAGGAATCGATGTAAGTACCCCCACCCCAACAGGGGTCGTTTTTTTTCCTCTTCCCAAAGCTCATCAGCTTCTACTTCTTTTTACTTACTTGGAAGAAGGATTGTAGAAGGAAGGTTCTGGTAGCTTCCAGCTGCTCTTTTGGGCAGGCGGGAGCAAGGGGTAAATAGTGCTTAAAAACAATCCAGAAAATGCCCTTGTTACAGCACAGCTACATAGCTGGTGTGGTCCTGTGGCTTGTTCTTGCTTGCTGTCCTTGGGCTGTTCTTACTATTTCTGTATTTTCGCACACAGCGGCTTGTTGTATGTTCATTCAGTACTCTGATGTGTTTCCTAAGACAACCTTCTCCACAGTCAGGGACTTCCTGGTTGCCTTGTCATATTACAACTGATAGGAATAACCTGGCGATGATTTGAGGTTTAATTTTTTCACTCTGTAATTCAGGCAGAACTGTGACACCATTCTTCTTACAACCTCTGAATTGTGGATGTTGTTTGGCCCTTGTAAAACAAGACTGGATTGTTATTGATAGTGTGCTTTGCTAGGACACGAAATGATTGCTTATCAACTGTGTCTAGGCCTTTTCAGCAGGCAAAAGATTTTTCTTTTTTAAATGGTTGCTTGTTTTGAAATATGTTATAAATTTACTTGACATTTTCATTCAAAATTGGAATCATAAAATCTTGCTTTTAGCATTTGTATATGCTTTCTCCTGAAAAATAATAGCTAGGTATGTTTCCATAATTACTTCTTGGTTTGATTATTTTATTTATACATAATACATGTAAATGTTTCAAGTAGCTGTCACTGTTATTGCTAACAAGCAAGTACCAAAAAATAACTGAAAATACTTGTCTTTAGAGTTTCTCCCCACCAGAATCATAGTCAGATTATTGTATTCTGGGTGGTTAGAATGATCCCTCTGTGTTGATGCCACCAACTCAACGTGTAATTTAGTTATTTCATTCTATGTGTTCAGACACTCAGAAGCTAATACCCAGTCATAATCATGTTAACTGTGTGGTTCAGAAGCCAAACAAGGTGTTTTCAGAGAAGTCTCGTGTCCTATAACAGGCAGCCATCTATATCTGTGGGTTCTGCATCTGTGCAGCTAACCAACTTTGCATGGAAAATGTTGAGTTTCTGCTGACATGTGTGCGGTTGAGCATATATGACGATTGACCTGCAATAAGTTAAGATTTTCATGTTCTTCCCAAGCATGGTATTTAACAACTACTTTCACAGCACTTATATTTGCATTAGCTTTAATCTAGAATTTAAAGTAGTATCTAGTAAGGTGTGCACAGGTTGCATTCAGAACTTTTTATAAAGGAATTATCAGTGCCATGGTGGTGGTTTGCTGAAACCATTGAACCTACGTGGACATATCTTAATTAAACCAGAGCTCATAGTCTACTTTGAGGCTCATTTTTGGTGTGGTACATTTCATGGATTTGGACAAATGGATGGTATTTTGTTTTTTAGTGTAAGCAAATATATATGAATACACACACACACACACACACACACACACACACACACACACACAGTACAGTTACACTTTTAATCTTTCCTATTTAAAAATCAAGCAACAATACCCTCTGTATACTGTGCCCAAGCTAGAGAGTCTCAAGACTTGCTCCTAACTCTGGCATATTGTAATTGGGTTAATCCTAACATTGAGTCACTGAATGTGCAATTTATTCAGTTATTTTAGAAGAGATAATTACAGCAATGTCTATCTAAATACTTTAATCATATGCCAAGATAGTTAGAAAATACATGAATATCCCTGTCTGCATATTGCTGTTTCTGTAATTTACATGTCGTCTGGTTCAATGGTTCTCACTGGGATGATTTTAACACCCAAGGGATATTTGACAACATCTGGGGACATGTTTGATTGCTCCAACTCCAAAGAGAGTGGAGGTTTCTGTTAAGTACCCCAGGATGCTGGGGACAGTCCCTAACAAAGCACTGCATGTTCCCAAGTGACGGTATGCCGAGGCTGAGAAAACCTGTCAGATTCAACCAGACATTTGAAGGCTTGTGTTCCTCCCTCCAGATGCACCCCCTAACCCTCATTTCCTGTCTTCCTTTCTCTTCTACTTCGATGCTTTTTCAGCAAAGCCAGATGTCCACAGCTAGGACGTTAGGAAGACATCAGCCATTTAAAATGAAGAGTCATGAGAGTATCAACAGTGTGTTATTTACCGTGTTATTGGTTTCTTCTAGGATAAGTCTTGTATGCAGCTAAGTGGTTTGGGAAAGCTACTTTTAGTTGACCACAGGCCTCAGGGAAGCAGGCTGTTAGATGCACAGGACACCAGCTGAGAGAGGCCCTGTATCTTATACTGTATTCGTCAGGCAGCATTGTAGGTTCTGTCACTTAAGGGCTCATTGTGAGATATTCTCCCCTGGAAGGTGAGTCATTCAAAGTCACATATAAGTGCATGTGGTTGGGGTGAGGGAAGGCTTGTGAGTACCTGGAGAACTCTGGGTTGATCCACACATTCTCTGTCTCTCTGTCTCTCTGTCTCAGTCTCTGTCTCTCTCTCTGGTTCCTGTTGCCCCACTTTACTATCTCATGAAACACAACCAAGCCACATTATGGACCCATGGAGTTGTGTTGCCCAGGTGGTAGGTATTCCCTCAGTGAGGAAGTCACCTAATGGCATATTTTTTGGATTCTGTCTCTACTGTTGAATGACTCTGCTCAATTCCATTGAAATGGAGTCAGTAATTTAACCACTTATACAAGCGTGGATGATTGGGGGGAGGTGTTCCTTCTCCTTGAGGGAGGCCTGCAGGAAACACTGGCAATACAGTTTAGTCACAGAGATCATTTCTGGGCATGCTGCTTTGTGTGCAGAATGCACATGTCAGGGCTGGTCTATGTGGTCATTCCTTGCGAGCTCGGGGACTTCACTGAGGCATTTCCATTGATGAATACTGAAGAAGAGTGTCCAGTTAGTTTAATGCTATTCCAGAAGTTTGCAACATCGCTTACTTAGCTTTGCCCACACTATCATATGGATTAAATGAATGTGGTCTGTGGGGGACCGACCACACCACAGAACAAATGAAACTCCAGCTGGTCGGCATTTCTCGTTGACAGAAGTGAAGGCAGTACAGTGTGGATATTGCAGAAGATTGTGTATAAATGGAGAGCTTCTTGACATTCCAGTGGCAGGTGACAGGCTTGTCTGCCCTTCTTCCCAGGAGAGAGTTTTATAGTCAGGTTCAGGAAACAGTTTCCCCGAAGGTTTTCCCATGCCTATTACCGGCTCTGTGCACCTGGGTGAGTGTGGGGCTGCTGGTGTCCTGGCAGTCTTTAAGAAATGGCATTAGTCCTCACAGTCCTCTGTTTTGAATGTTTGTCCCTAGGGCAAACAAAATTATTCATTTTTAGGCCTTTGCCTGCCAGCATATTCACCAGTCTTTTTAATCTCAGCATCTTCTGTCTTGTCTCACAAGAAAGAGATACCTTTTATTCGGAACTGCTCTCTGGTCAAATTCAGAATCCTGCCGAGGACCTACTCTTTTTAATCCCTATGTCAGGTTTTTGATGGAATCTTTAAATATGACAAGATTGGGTGATGTTGCCTGATACGTTTCTAGTTAGGAAATAACCAGCATGTACTTTTTCTGGTGCTGAGTGGCAGTTCTGGGCAAAGATGGGCCCACCAGCCCTGTGGAATCATTGTGATGCAAGGACAAGAATGGCCTCCAGGCTTTTCTAAGGGGAAGGAAGGAGTTGGTGTGGCCAGGTAGTGGCCATGTAGTGGGCTGCCAGGCTGAGTGGACCAGTGGAAGGCATTCTTCAGAGCTCTTTGATGGATTCCAGAAGCAGTGTTTTCTTCATTGGGCTCTGCTATGGGGAGAGGAGAGGAGTGTCCTAGCAGGGACGTTAGAAGTCCTTGAATTTGTTAGACTCTGCACGGTAGCTTCATTTTGATTCTCAGCAATTAGGCAAGCAGATGCCCAGTCTTTCCGGACCACCAGACAGATGGGGTGAAGTGTCCACATGGCAGCCTCCTCTCTGCTCTTGCTTTCTCACAGAAACACCATGCTCTGAAGAAGAAAACCAATTCGTGAATCTGCTATCCAGAAACTCGGGGATTTGGTATGAACTCCGCTTATTAATTTGTTACTAACTTAGGCTTTCACAAGTTTCCTAAGCTGGAGGAACTTGCAGGTGTAAGCAACATGACCATCTGAGTAGGGTGACGAGGAGGATGGCTGTTTAAATCTGATTCAATTCATTTCCTAGAGCAGAGTTATTAAGACATTTCATTTATGGTCTCTGTTTCAGAGTTAGTATTAGTCATTTGGTTTCCAGAGAGCCTTTGAACACAGGTGTCCTTAGGATGTCCATGGAGGTCATATTAACTTGGGAAAGGGCTTGTTCTACTGTGGATATTTTTGCTGCAAAACATTTTATTTGAAAGAATAACGTATTAATATAAGCCACACTTGAACTTTCTGTTCCTGTCACCCAGAGGCCAAGTTCATGATTTCTTTCGGGTGCAGCTCTTCTGTTTTCTTTTTTTATACTGACATTTGTCCACTAAGGATAGTTTGTATGAATAGATAAAATCACCGAATTGAAGACTTTTTTACTTTTTTAAAGACCAGGTTTTACTATGTAGTCCTTCTTGTCCTGAACTCAATATGTAAGTCCAAGGTGGTCTTGAACTCAAGATCTGCTTGTCTCTGCCTCTGTCTCCCAAGTACTGAGATTAAAGCACCACTGTGCACAGCTCATATTTTTATGAGATGTGAATTATATTTCAAATTAATAAAATATAACTTCAGAGTTTGGAGACCAGCTTAGGAGATGAAATACAACCAGGAGATCTGTGCATTTTAGACTTAAAAATAGAAATGGTTTTATGGGAAGCCTGGAGTGAGCCCATTGAGGTTACAGTAATTAAACGAGTGTGGATTAATGAGTCTGGATGATGAGAATAAGATAAGGGGAGCACTCTGGGATGCTGCTGCTCAAGCAA